TTCATAAATTCCCCTTTCAGTTTCTCCACAGTCCCCTTATTTGTTGAAAGGTGTGAGATCCACTCCTGTAATTCAGAACCAGTCCTCGATTTTTGTTGTTGCCCTCTAGTTTTCCTCCATTCTGATCAGAAAAGATACAGGGTGTGACCTGAGTTCTCTCTCTCTTGCTCATACCCACTCTCTCTGTCCGTGGTCTGTCCTGGAGATGAAGCTGCATATGTAGCGCGTTGGTCCTTCTCTGGGAAGCAGGTGGGTGCTCTGGGCCTGTTCCCCTGCCGCGGAACTCTGTCTGGCTTGGGTTGTTTGTCTCACTTAGACAATGTATGCTGGACATATGCTCTGGCTTGTGTCTAGATGTGCCACCAAAGCTTCACACTCTCACAGGCTGGATCTAGTGTTTGTGACACTGGGCTTGACTCATGGTACAGTGCCAGGATTAAGGGTCCTAGGATTAAGGGTGTGAGTGCCGCTCCCCCTAAGGGACCCACAGAGGTTTGGTGCTTGTAGCTTGCTGTTTGCTGGCTTCTGTCTTCTGCCTGCCATGGACTGTTTTCCCTCTGCAGTTCCCCTCTGCCATGCCACCCTGGCTTGGAGCCAGCTGACTATGAACTGAAACCTCTACAAAATGTGAGCTAAATAAATCTTTTCTCTTTTAACTTTAGGTGTTTGTCTCAGTAATGAGAAAAGTAATGAAGACAATGTACCTGTTGTTACAGTGTAATTATCTCATTTTTATGAAGGGAGTTCCCTCAATAGGATGACTGATACAATATTTATATACATACACTGGAATCCTATACTCAGTCTTAAGTTTCCAATTTTTGTTATAAGGAGTGGAAGCCATGCTGATCATCACACCTGTATTGTTCTTTAATATTTATAATTATAGTAGTTCACCAAGGCTGCCCTGGCATAGAACCACATACCAAAGGCCATGGAAGGAGAGGGCTGTGCTGTCTCAGCTCTGGAGCCAGATCCTGAGCAGGCTGGAGCAAGGCTGCTCTGCAGGGCCTGGACAGGTCAGTGCTGGGTAGGGCTAGAGGGGTCAGGAAAGGGGTCAGTCCTCTGCAGGGCCCAGAGGGTCAGCCCTGGCCTCGCAGGTCCTGGCTTCTCAGATGCTCTTTCGTGTGGTGTCTGAACCCACATTTCTCTTTGGTGGGGACAGTTACATAGGTGAGGCTGCTGTCCTTCAGGAGTTTCAGTTGATGAACATCTGCACAGACCTCATCTCCAGACAGGGCCACTGCCGGAGGCATCAGTATCAGGCCATCAGCGCACGGATTGGAGTGGGTGCAGCTCTCCTGTAACAGAACTTCCCTGCCAAAGCATCTCTAAAAGTGCTCTAAGACTTTCGCTACAGTTTTCACTCTCAACAACTCTGCAGAATAGTGTGATCTACAATATCGTCCAAAGCCTTGGGATTGGTTTTAGCACCATTAAAATAAATGTCTTTATTCTAGTCTTTATTAATTCTGTTATCATGATTAGGTAGCTTTAATAAATAGGATATGTTTCACAATTAATTGCCATCATTACTTTTCAATTTGTGAATTATCTTTATCTCTAAATTTGCACATCTTTTCTCATTCCATAATTTTAACAAATATTCCTTTCTCTTTTTACATTATGTTCCTTCCTTTAGTTATTTTCTATTTAACTCTTTGATACCTATGGAACTTTGGCATATTTGAGTGTAGAAGCGGGAATCGGAGACATTTATCTCACCAGCAAAGTTCCGCTCACTGACGCTTGGCTCTGACAGAAATGTGTCTTTTCCTGGTGGTTGAGTTCTTAAGTATGAGGGTTTCTAGTTTTATTTCTATTTCATGCATCTTTTATCTATTACTTTGCCAGGACCATACTGTTTTCAGTGTCATAGATTTTTTAATGCTCTACAGAATTCTTTCTAATGCTCCCTTTAATAAGTCTTAGCTTCACTCCTATAGTAGCGCAGTAGTACTTGAAATTAGCATTATTTCAGTTACAGAATCCTACAGCTAGAATTTATCTATGAAGCCTGTTACATAATAATCTGCCCTCCCTATTAGGGAGATGAAATCGTATTTTTCCTTTATTCACATTTTAGATGTTTCCATAGAGTGGTATCGCCTATTGTTTGTTGCTTCAGTACTCAGAAAGCACTCGTTTGTCATCTGCTGTGCTTTCAGGAATGTGGTGGGAGCTGAGACAGTGCGGCTAAGCACCTGCCGAGCGGAGAGGTTCAGATGGGGAGGGGAGTGCAGACAGGAAACTGCCACAGGTGGAATCGGTGGGGGCGGGCTGGGTTGCAGTACCAGATGTCAGTGCCAGGGGTCCTGCGTGGCAAGCTCCCTGGAAAGGGGGTCAGGGTGCAGGTGCACTTGGGTGGCAGAGAGCAAGCGAGGTGCAGAAAAGGGGAAGCTTTTTAGGGGAAGGAAGAGGGAATAAAGGAAATGCTCGCAGACTACAAAGAGCCCCGCACAGGACAGGGTGCAGTGGCTGAACCTGCCCCAGGGTTAGGACTTGAAAGAGGGGTGAGCGAGGGGCCTCTGAGCCCTGGGCCACTTGATCCCCTTAGTGGTCATGTGAAGGGGAAGTTCATCCATCATATCTGAATCTCAGAGGGGCTTGGGAGAGAGTATCTCAGGGAAATAAGAAAGTGAAAGAGAATACACAGGATTTCACTGACAGTAAATATGGATGATTGTTTGTATGAATGCATGGACTGACGAAGCGGTGTGCCCCCAGTGCAGCCCCGGAATTGTAGCTGGTGCCCTTCCTGAAATCACTGTTATTAGAGGTAGAAGACAGACAGATAATCAATGGGAAGTGAAGAATAGAATTACGCACTCAACTGCCGAGTCTTAAGGTCAGATTTCATCTCATTGTTTCCCATTTAGATATTGTTAATATGCAGGAAATAATTTCATTCTTATTATCATTATTTTGTTTACATATTGAATATATTCTTGCTTTGTTAACTGTTTTATTAATTCTTATAGTTTCAGATGATTTTATTGTTTTCTGAATATGAAATTATAATTCCTGAATTTAATAGCAATTTTATAGCCTGAGTCCCAACATTTATGTTCTTTATTTTTATGCATGTTTAAAATATTATTCAGAATTTCCAGGAATAGTTTTAAATGACACTTTTTGCTTTGCTGTTGATGATGGGAATGTGCTAATATTTTACATAGAAGCTGATGACTCTGAATGTAAGGTTGTTCTCATTATAGTAAATTTAAGCATAACTCATTCCAATTCCATTTTTAAAGAACTTTTTAAGAGTTTTTTATAAGACTGGAAATTTTATGAAATGACTTTTTGGGAACCTATTAAAGTTTATCTGCCTATCTTCTGACCAACTGATGTGTTAAATTCGTTGTTCGATGGCCAGGTGTGGTGGTGCACATCTGTAATCCCAGCCCTTGGGAGGCTAAGGCAGGAGACTTGCCCCAAGTTAGAGGTCAGCTTGGCCTGCACAGTAAGTTCAAAGTCAGTCTGAGCTACATTGTAAGACCCTGCCTTAAAAAGAAAAGTTGTTCCTTTATTAGATATTATATATGATTTTTTAAATTTTTATTTACTCTTCAGTTTTAAATATGTATGTCCATAAATAAGAGTCATCCTTATTACTTTGTAGTATATTTTCCATGTTTTATATTTGAAGTTATAACTATGAGAAACAGTAAAAATCTGCATAAAAATATTAGTAATGATAACTAAGCTGTGTTTTATGAATGGAGGAAACACACACTCCAGATTTTCATCAGTAAGGGCTGTGACCTTGGGAAGAGTCTCTCTTTGGCGTCCATCTCTATAAAAAGCGATGGGCTGAGCTCCAAGGTCAACCCACCTCTGGATCCTGCCAGCGTCGCCTCCATGGCGGTGCCCTTCCTGCTTCATGCCGACAGGCAAAGCTGAATGCGCTACATGCAGTAGATGTGCATAAGTTAAAAATAGATTTGTCCTTAGGACCCCAGCAGCTGTAAACCTGAGTGTGAGGACAACCACATGGCAGCCATAAGCTGTCCATAGCACACAGCACACAGCAGTCCACCGTCCATTAACGGGGTCGTGAGCAGCTGGAACTGAGCGATGTTGGCCCTGAGAGTTAGCTTAAAACCCGCTGAAAGTCTGTCTGGTCACACGTGTTGTTTGGTGTAATTCACCTAAAACACTAGATCGTGAAACACAAGTGGGGCGGAGCAGTAGCAGTAGTACAGTCTTGCCTCGAATGTGTGAGGCTCTGGGTTTGAGCCTCGGTTCTGCAGAATAGAAAAACAAGTAAGTAAAAGCACGGAATGGAGGGCCAGAGGCTGGACTTGCACCTCTCTCCTGCCTTTTATCGGCTCTGTCAGTTCAGTCAAGCCACATAAGGCATTGGCAATTTTGGTTTTAACATAGAACCACTGTAATTAATACTTAACTCTTAGATACTCTGACATGAGTATCCTTTGATTAATTTACAGGCTCATCAGCTTTACCTCTGCAAGTCATGACTGAGCTGCTTCCTCAGCAGTGCTGTAGGTGCAGTGCTTGTGTTCTGGGTCAGCACCCTCATGTCCAGGCTTGCAGCTCCCCTGGGTCTCACTGAGTGAGGAGGGGTTGCTGGGGCCACATATAAAAGGTGTGACAGCTGTTAGTGTATTTGAGAAGCTAAGCTTCCTTATTCTTATATGGGTTATAGTAACACTTTAAAAACAAAACAGAGGCTCCAAGGTTGGGGTCCTTGCTAGAGAAGGTGCCAGAGTCCCAGGAAGCCCCAGCTCCGATTCTTCCACTGTGATCATTTCTTTTGTTAAATCCAGAAGTCACCCTCGTCTACTTCTCAAGTATTTGGTTCCATTTTCCACTCCTTAAACTGTGTGTGTCCCTGTTCCCTCGGGGCTCAGCCTTGGAAGTGTCTGTTTATGGTTTAACATGTAACAGTGGCACTTGGTTCATGTGTATGTTTAAATGATGCCTTGCAAAGCGCCCATCTAACATTAACCCTTCTTCTCCTGATTCTCTTTCAGATAGCAGTGCTGTGGATGAAAAGGTTTTACATCATACTTTTTCTTGCCTCCTGAGGGATCTTGTCTTTGTAAATGTTTGTTTGTGACACATTAGACTGTTTTGGTTTCTCTGTTTTAGTTGGGAAATGTGCATGTCCTCCCGGCTTTCCATCCTTTGGTTTCCCTTTGAGTGTGCCCCACTACTTTGCATTATTTGAGGTCACACCTGCAGCTGCGCTTACTCTAGCTTACACTTGCCTACTAGGGGTCCGCTACTGTCAAATGCAGCATCCGTTCCCAAGTCTGGCTAAGTCATGACTTCCTGACTGGTTCATGTTACCTGCACATACCAAGTCTGAAGGGCGCCCAGTATTTCGAATACAATGTCTTTTCCTGGACTCTGCCAGCGCTTTTGTGCCAATGCTGATAGCTAATTTCAAAACCTCCACTCACAAAACACAGCTTTGACTTGGAGCTGACCCTGCTTAGCATCTGTCATCCTAGGTGTTACGTGTGTGGTGCAGTTGGACTGTGTCCCTGGTCGCCTCCCTGCAGCATTAGCAGCCTAAAACCTGTTGTTCTGTTCTTCTTCTCCGTTTAAGGCTCGGATAGTGAGTGGCAATGGGTCGAAGGCACCCGGACTCTCTGCGCTCCAGGCATTTGGGGGGTGAGTACAACCCGGCCCTGCTGACTGCTCCCGCTCCCCCAGCGGCCCTGCACCTCCACGCATGGTATTGCATGACTTGCTGTCAGCTGCTATTAGTGTTCTCTTTAAAAACAGTGTGACGCATGCTCCTGACAATGAATTCTGACTTAAATATATGTGAAAAAGAAGAAAGTAGAGGTCAACTAATCCGTTAGCTTTTTACATTATCATTCTGTATACAGATAAAATCACAGCGGCGCACAGTGAACTTGTACTGACGTAGGTAATGCTATCTCGATCTGCTCATTCCCACGCAGAGGCAGGTGTACAACCCTCTCAGCGTCAGTAGCTCCATGATTACATCGACCCTGTCTTCTTTCACAGTCCTGCAGCATTACACACAAGGGATAGCCAAAATAGTTAACATTTAATAGCAAAATTAGCAAGCAGCCTATTTATGGCCCCCTGTTACCCCCGGGACCCCACACTGACCCAGGTGTTCACGGACTCTTCCTGTGTGCTGCATCCACATCCATGCCAGATAAATCCAATAGCTCTACATTCCGACATCTGCATTTTTACATAAATTGAGCCATGCTATGTGGAGCTAAATAAGCAGCATCTGAAGGTCGACTTTGTGTCAGGAACTGTTGTCATCACTTCCCATCTAATTACTCATTTGACCCTTATGGAGCCTCTTGGGTAAGTAGTGTTCTGACATTCACTTCACAAACCAGAAAGTCGATCACAGGCCCTGGGAACACTCTCCTTCTCAGAGCTCCTAAGAGGCAAGCGAGTGTTCCGGTCCGGATGGCGCAGCTGAGAAGTCTGTCACCTTCGTCCCTGGCTGGACTGCTGCTGCCCCTCACCGCTTTCTTTTGTTCCTCTCCTTTTCCCTTCAAGGATGTGCCTTGCGAAACCTCTCAATCCTTCAGTGCTAAGTGATGCTTGTATTTCAGAACATCTGTGTGGAACTCATTAGTTTCGTTAGTTAATTTTCCCATTAGATTTTCTCAATTATTTCCACCTGTTACTACCATAAATAGTACTGTGGTAAGCCCCGGAAGTCGGATTTCTAGGGTGTAGCTTGTGGATAAAGTTATATAGGCTTGTAGATCTATATGCCTATATGTGTACATCTGTATACGCGGTTCTGTAAGTGCTGAGAATTGAGTGCATTTTATCTACAAATACGTAAAAGCCAAGGCTATATGCATATTTTACATCTTTTGATGAGAAGTTTTACAGTTCTGTTTTATAATACTCTAATTCTTTTTTCCCCTAATATGTTACTTTATGCAAGATACTCAAGTTTTTATTGCATGAATACCTGAAAGTGTTTATGGTTACCTCATTCAAGAAAACACGTTTATTGAATGTTTTACTATTTACTTAAACCTTCATCTTTGAAAAGTGTACCCACGGTCCTTGTTTTTAATTCATTCTGTGTTTTTGTTGGTCCATGTTTGCAGTGTGTAGTGATTTGTTGCGTACACCCAGGTCTTCTTTCTCTCCCGTTCCCTCCCTTCCACCCAGCTCTGCGCCCTCTGACCCTCGACCCTCTGCCCATTTGAAAAAGCTCTGTTTCTATTTTTTCTTCAATTATTTCTTTTTAAAATCTTTTTCCTCTTTCATTCCATGTTTACTTATTTTCAAACAAATATTTATCATCAAATTTAAAGTTTCCTATTTAAAGTTTCTAAAATATTTTAATTTTCTCAAATAGGAGTGACGGAGAGATTATTCCACTTACGTTTGTAATATCAATATCCTTAAAATAAATATGTGAAGAATCCCCTACATGTCTATTGTAATAGCAAAATGATTTAGCTAAGTGCTGATAATCACCATGAATTATCCAGGAAATACTTTCTGTGTTAACCAAACTGTGTTTTTAAACCTACCAAAAATGCCAACTCAATGCTTGAATAGAAAATTCTCTCAGAAAAACACCAAGCTGTGCGCCAGTCTGGGAATGAGGCACTGAGGTGATGCTGTGTAGTGGTCAGAAGGTGTCTCCGAATTGCTTACCCTGTTCCCCATACCGTGACTCCACCACCATCGCATCCACCACTTCTCAGCATGTCGGTGTCATAGCTCAGGTGAGACACGGACTTCTGTGGTGGCCAGAGCAGCAGAAGGAGAGCCAGACTGCAGCCAGCCTTCCTCCTGTCCCCTGGTCCTGGGGACAGAGCCTCCACAGACCCCACTGCTTGGCAGGGCAGGGGACGGAGCCTCCACAGACCCCACTGCTTGGCAGGGCAGGAGCTGGGCTGGCCATAGAGCCCACCCACGGTCCTCAGCAAACAGACAGGCTCTGAGCCCCGAGGGGCTCGCTGGGCCTCTGGGCAGTGCGGCTTCTTTTGTGACACCTGTGGAAGAGAGAGGTCCTTCCAGAGATGACCAACCCTTCCTCATCTGAAGGGAAATGCTCCACACCTCTGAACCACCCTATCCTGTCAGCCACCTGAACTCCCTCCCACCAGAGCATTTAGGCTCCTGTGTTCCTATTGAGTTTTTCTCTTTTGTGGTTTTCCCTTTTTGTGCTTAATTTACTGAAAATAGTTTTCACATAACTTCCTTTTACAAGCTGTAAAAGTGTACTCCTACATGCTTAAAGCCAACCTGAAGTCAGGCTCAGATGGGTAAACAGGTGTCTCGACATTAGCAAAGCAAACACACTTGTCGTGCGTTTGAGAGCTGCGCTGTGCATGGAGCAGGTGGCAGTGGCAGTGGCCATCCCGTCTGCTGCTGTGCTCCAGACAACTGTCTGTATGCGCTGGATTCAAATGAACATGTGACTTTCTAAAGGGACAGTTGTCACTGATACGGGTCCTGTGCAGAAGCCCAGTGTGTATTCCCTGCGAGAGCATGAGTGTAGGAAGACATTGGACCTTTGCATTTGTTACCTCTTTTTTGTGACTGCTACTGACTCATGTCTTGAGGTATGAAAAGAAATTTGACAAAATAATGTTTAGATTTTTTTTTTTTAGAAAACGAAAGAACTTTCATTTTCAGTTGCTGACTGCCTCTTGAAGAACCGGAAGAGTACAGCTTCCAAGGAACCATCAGACATAAACTCTGTGAGATTTGCTTATTTTACTTTTTCTATGAACATTTTAGTGCCTTTCCTAAGGAAAATGAAATAAGGCATACTTTCTGTAAATACCACAACTTCTCTTGGCCTGGGAACCTGACATGGAGCAGACTTTGACATGTGGGGGTCACTGCTACTTCACAGAGACAGGACAACTCCCCCACTCGTCCACCCCATCCTGCTGCTCAGTCCTAAGGCAGACCTCCCCTTCCTCAGGTGGCAGGGGAAGAATAATTTCTATTGTATAACACAGGCAATGATTCTTCACCCTGGCTTTTGCTCAGCTCCCTGTTATTTCTTGTAAATATTGCTACATAAGTCATCCAAACTGCATTTTTTTTTCCTCATCTACCATAAAAATTCAGAAAATCTTTGAGAAAGAAATTGGAAGTAGAAAGGAAAAGGCAAATAGCAAAAACTATGATAGAGAAAGCTGGAAAGACATAAATTCATAAAACTTGACATTTTATATCATTTTTTGTAAGAGTTTAGTGACTTCTGTCACGTGTAAGCAAAGAATCACACAGCAATCACAAACCAAGACATTGTTAAATGTATCAGGGCCAATGTTATACTTTAGATCTAAAATGTCGCCAGGGGTCTCACATGTTCAGAGGTCGGTTTTGGGGTGCTGAGTTGACCCTGGGGGTCTATGCTCACCCTTGCATTAATCCATTGAGTTCAGCAGAATGTGCTGTTAGCAGTGGGGCCCGGTTGCAAGCATGACCTGAAAAGCAGAAGGTACATTTTGGTCCCAGCTCTTCCCTTCTCCTCTGCTCCTGCTGAGCAGCTTTCCTCCACCCATCCTTCCACCATGATATTCCTGCCTTGAAGGCAGCTGGCCATGGACTGCCTCCTCCAAAACCATGAGTTGAATGAAATCTCTCCTCTTTTAAGCTGCATCAGTATTTTGTCCCAGCAAACAGAGAAGCTGACTAATGCAGTACAAGATGTCTGGAGGAGGGAAACAGAGAAGGACCAGGCACAGGTAAGAAGAGGCTGTGATGTTCCTAGAATTTGAATAGATGGCAGAAGGAGGAGGACTTGGTATGAAAAGCCTTAAGCTGATTGCAAGAAGAAAATGTCGGCAGACTGGCGGAGAGCCCTGGAGAGAACGCCACCTACTAGAGGAGTGTAGTGCTCTGGGTACATGGCCAGCTCTGCCGCCTCCCCCAGGTCCAGTCACTGGTTGGGAACAGTTCGTGGAGAAGGTGGCCCTGCTGTGATTGCCATCCCGGGCCCTGGAGGTGCAGCAGTTGGTTTGCTGTGGGACTCTACTGCCCTCAGCACTGATCTCCAAGGAGTGTCTGTCTTGTGTTTCCATGGTGACCCACCCCGGCCTGTGAAAGTGCCGTAGTAAGCCACGGTGAAGGAAGCCACAGAAGCAGCTGCTCCAAAGAGAAACCCGGTTTTTAATCAGGATGGGTCTCCCCCGGGCTAGAAGCTCTGACAACGTGAATCTGCCTTTTCCTGGACACGTGAAGGCAGGGTTCCCTGGTTGTGCTATGAGGACCTTGCAAGGGTCACGTACTTTATTCCCTTTTTCTTCCCAAAGCACCAGATGTGTCTGTGCCAGAATCAAGGAATATCCATAAAACCGTGGTGCAGTTAGGGAAAGGCAGCCCGGGATCAGTGTTCAGACCTTCTCCATCCCATGCTCCTCAGGCAGCCAAGCTTTCCTCTAGCAATGAGGACTGACTCCCTCAGTCTTTGCAAAGCGCCCTTGGCCAGCAGGGCTTTCCTTAACCCTTTAACTCCTGCTTAACCAATACCGGAATTATTGAACCTGCTCAGGAAGAAACAAGGGAAAAGCGGAGAGAGAAAAATGGAGAGCAGTTGTTGAAGGGCAGGACGCTGAAAGATTGCCAGAGAGCTTCTGCCTTGACCTCATTTTCAGATACGGACAAATGCCAAACACAAACAG